GGATCAGAAGGAGCGAGATCTGAACTTAACGAAAGCTGAGAGCCAGCTTTGGATCTGGAATCGAGTGAGTGACACGACTGGTGTCTCTTGTCGGGTAGAAGCGCTGACTTGGCATTCGGCACCCAAACTTGCTTAGATTTTGGTGGCCTTTTGAACACCTCTTCTTTTTGTAATTTTTTTGCTTTATGCATAAGGATCCGGGCGTGTGCAAGAAGTGCGCGATGCTTCTGAATGCGCTCTTCAAGAGTGGAATGGTTCCGTTTGACACGAACTCATTCGTTAGTAGGTGGTTGGGAGGAGGTTCTCGAAGCTTGTTGTGGCGATGGTTTAGCCATTTGGCATCTCCTGGACTTCAGATCCGCTTGGTAGCGTAGCCCATCCACTTGCGCCAAAACCTTAGCGAATTGGCGGGCAAGACATTGACGACGCTTTTGACGAGCCCTCTTCGACAAATTTGGCACGCCTTCAACAATTAACTCCTTAATGGAGACGGTATTCGGATCTGTGGCTTTGGCTTCATCAAATGTCATTGGGTCATCGCGAGGTACAACTACAACAGCGGCGGTGGAGAGATCATCTTCTTGGGTATTCAGATCTGAAGACCAATGGATCTTCTGGGAGGAGGAGGCCTTCCTACACTTGCGAAGAGAGGTGAATCTGGAGGAGGAAGAGGAGACATACTCCTTGAACTTTTGCTAGTCGAATTCATATTCGACCTCTTCGTTCACCGGGATCTTGATCGTTGGCTGCGGAACGACATTCTCGGCAACGAGGCTGTTGGCTCCCACTGTGGTCGTCATCTTGTTTGGGGAGAAAGTTAATTTGTTCATTGTTGTGTTCATTACAACTTCAAACGTTATAATGAAAACAAAAGTTAGTCTTTTTATAAGGCCTTTACACAATGAAAACAAAAAAAAGTATAACTCTCGTCAAACAGCGTAACAGATGTCTATCGTTCGCTACTTGCGTGGGATCCTAGCTTGTGACGGGGACGTTAATATCCGTGGACCACCAAACAACCAGATCAGATCCGTAGCTTCGTTGATTCGTGAAGGAATCATGAAACCAAAGCAATTATCTCGGCAATAGCGAGATAATTACTCTTCTCGAGATTACCGTAACAGGGCAATCTCAAGGCAAAAGACCAGGAAGTGTATATATGACGAGCTCCTCTTCTTTATTCTGATGAACTCGATCTGATCTCCTTCTCTCTTCTGAAATTCATGCTCCTTCAGTATTTAGTTTGGCAGGGCTTCGCCAACGCTCGAGAATTCCATATCTGAAAAAATAAAGGCCCTAGGGTTGTATTTATAGGCTTCAGGATCCCTGTTTTTAGATAAGAACGACCGATTTACTCTTATTTTCAGTTGTAACCACTTAACCATGTTCTTGGATGATATCTTATCAGTTTGAATAAATCCAGACGGTTAACGATCGAAAAACAGCTTAAATCTGTCAAAAATAGTATTTTTAGGCTGTGGACACAGGTGGGTGTCTCGGCCATGCTTTGGTCGAGGCACCATTTGGTGTCTCGGCCAAGGTTTGGCCGAGACACCACTTGGTGTCTCGACCAAACTTTGGCCTCAACTTGGTTTCATGCATTCTGTCCGTTTCCACCGTATCTTCATTGTCCAAACTTGGATTTACGTGTTTTAATATACATCAAAAAGCTAACGAGGAGATCTATAAGCTCCCATAGTTGAATCACATGTGAAGTAGACAGGACACGAGAGGTGCTTCGTCTTTTGTAAGTGACACGGAGTTGCCGATCCATTCATGTTTTTGTTATTCCGAAGTTCCGTTGCTTCGCATGGTTCATCGACTAACTTCATACGCTTGTCATCGTCAAATAAGCTATTATGACTCAGATAGTGATGTTCATCATCTTCTCTCTGTCTCGAGCCACGTACGGAGACCTATAGGTAATTTTTGACGCCCGCACTCATCTTGCACTTGTTCACATATCTTGAGATAATTTGGAGTTGATAACTGCAATGATATGTTTGTGCATAATAATACACATAGTGATACACATAATGAATAAATTGTTATCATCAAAACTATATCTTGAGGATATGATATCTAACACTATCTATTTGGCAAAGAACCAGGTTTATCATGCACGCACGAAGCACATTGATATCAGATTCTACTTTGTTTGAGATGTCTGATGGAGATATCATATTGGAGAAGATTCACACAAAGGACAATCATCTGGATATGTTAACCAAAGTTGTCTCGGATGTGAAATTTGGTCATTGTTTGCAGCTATTAAACATTCTTCGATGTTGAGGGCCTTTGAAGGCCATTGGTGAACTACGTGAGGCTTGATTCCTTAGGCAATAGGACATGTAGGCAGTCTTTTTTGATTCAGCCGGTTGGATAAGTTGATATTAATGGGGGGAGATTGTTTGAGCTCTCGTTTTGGGTTCCCGGCCTGTTGTGGATTGAGTCCGTTATCATAGATTTATTCATTTCGTACTGGACGCAACAAGTAGGACGTTTGGCTTATTTTGGTGTCGGCTCAATTTTGGGTGAAACTTCACTGAGGTGGAGATTTGTAAAAGTTCAGGAAAATAAGGCAGAAAATAGTTTGGATGACTGCCGGTCGACCGCTACGATCGATCAGAAACGTGCACAATCAGCAAGAGCTTTCTGGAGTTAGGACCACCAGGGACCCTGTAATGTTTTTTGGGTTTCTATCGTTGGTTGCGGTCGACCGCGAGTCGGGTCCGAGCCTGGGTTATGTTTTCTGACCCGTTTCGTTTTGTGTTGATATATAACCTTAAAACATGATTATTATGGTTAAGTAAGAGATGACTTTGATCAGCTTTTGAGAGAGTTTGGTGCATTCTTTGTGGGAGAACTTGTGAGAGATTTTGAGAGCTTTGTTTGAGGGTTTTTGGTGAGATTGTAAACCCTATTTGTAATTCTCTTTATCTCTAATAGTAAAAGTTCCCCCCTCATTGCCCTATGGACGTAGGCAACTTGTCGAACCACGTAAAATTCATTTGTCTTGCTATGATTTGTGTTTGTTCTATTGGTTGTGATCTATCTTGCTTATCATGCACTTTTGGTTGTCGAGTTCCGCTGCGCACAACAATATTTGCTGCTAAAAAAAAGTTTAAACATGTAACTCATCAATTGCAACTTCCGTCGCCTCCGCCCTACGCGCCAAGTATTTGTCTACGGTAGAGTGGACGCTGATGTTGTGATTCCTGTAGAAAAGATTGCTCAGCTTAAGACTACACTGTACAATGTGTATAGAAGAGAGCTCCAAGATCCAACCTTGCCTTGCCCCTCTAAGAAAATGCGAGGGGTCCCGATCAAAGAAAGAGGGGGAGTCAGAGAGAATCTAAATGAGAGTAGTCCGCTGAGGCTGTTGATGAATTTCTTGATTTGGGTGATGCGGAGACTTTTATTATATGAAATTGGCTAAACAAGGAGTGACGAATGTGACGGAAAGGGATAGGGAGGCTGTTAATGCAATGAAGCAAGCTAAACTTGCAAAAGTTCGAGAGCACAATGAAGCAGCGCAATGAGAATCTGCAATTGCTTTGACTCCAGGCCAAGAAACCTACATTGACATATGTTGAAAAAGAAAGTTACTACAAAGGGTAGATTAGGAAAGAGGCTTTTGAATACTCGTGCAATGGATTCTTCCAGCATGCAAGTTACACAAGGCGAGGATTCAAAGTATAGAGAAGCTTTTCGGAGCCAAGGTAGCGGAATTTATTTTCTTATTTATTGAAATATATGTTCTTTCAGGTATATATTGAAGTCAAATATTTTACGTCTTTTTATTAATTTCCCTCTCAAGCTAGCTTGTAGGTATTGTGTAGAAAAGCTAATATTTTGTTGTTTTTTGATTCAGGAGGAAAATATTTGTCTTCGTTCTTCTGCCTCTAAGTAAACTAACATTACATCTTTCATTTCTGAACTCGTAAAAAACTAACAAAAAGTGATATCAACACTGGATCACGGTGATGGAAATTTGTATAAATTCATGAATGGTGTGCTAATACCAATATCCTACTATATCACAATATGAAATATGTCTTTGGAATGTTTGAGTGCAAAAGTGATATTTACAGCCCATATGATCATTCAACCTAATGTTGTTTCATTGGACCTCGGGATACTGTTGAAATCTTCTGGGTCAGCTTTATTATAGGGAATGAAAACGAATATGATTTAACTAGAGTTAATTGTTGTAATCTGTGTGATTCAATTTGTGGCTCTATATGCTACTAGATTTTGGGATCAACAAAATTATTGTCAGTTCGATCAAGCACCTATTTTCAAGTGTGATATTAAATTCTGATCAGTAACAGTGGTAAGTAATGAATTTTTCTCGTTTTCTGTTATTTGAAAACCCATTGGATCCTTAGCGAAATGCCGATGAGCATGTTGAATATCAATTAGCATTTTGCAGGGAGTTCTTTCAAGAGAAAAAGCAATTCCATTACTTGAAGTACATCCTTTGGATGCTTACTCGGCATATTTGATGCTTTGTGCTTTCATTCTTGCAGGGTCCGATTTTTTTCATTGGGCATTTCAAATTTAGTCTCGATTCAATGGTTAGATCGGAGCGTATTTCCCCCCTGAATGGATTTCATTTGAATGCTAGTATGAGCTAGTGCTCAATTCTCTAAGCATATAACTTCTTTCAATAGTTATATATTCAGTTACTTTCATTTCAATATATTAAAAACTGAATACATGTTTACTTGAGATTATCTAAGTCGCATGGGTGAAATCTTTTCAAATTTAAGTGATTACTAAAACACGTTCATTTGACATAAGAGAATATTTTTTCTTCTCTAGTAATATAGAAAAAACGATGGCTTGTGGGAAAGGCATCTAACCTTCCTCAGCAAGGAAATTTCGATATACTCCTAGGAATTCATGAGAATGTTTGACTTAAGGCTAAGGATAAATTCAACAATAGAATGCTACCATAAACCAAATATTTATTTTATTTTGTAGAAAGAAAATTATTATACATCCTTCATCCGAGTGTATCCTCCAGGACCACCATAACGAAATTTGTAACCATCTGGATAACCTGAGTCATAATTTCCATCAATACCGTAATAGTCAGGTCTAGTAGATTTTAGTCTGACTCTGTTAGATTTTGGACTGTAAAGCTGATTTCTTTTATTTACTAACTTAATGTTCAGAAAATAGCATGTCTTATTTGGACCTTCGTAAGGCATATGACCACTTCCCATGGGGGGACTAGGTTCATTGTAGGGAGAGTAAGCTGCACCACCATAATCAACCTCATTAGGTTTCTCTAAATTATTGAAAAGCTCCTTTGGCCAATATCCCACTAGAGATCTTTCTTCCCCATAGGTTAACCACCAATTTCCTTCTTCTGGATCCTATAATGAGAAGGACAAAAAATAAGAGTTATTCCCCCCACTCCACACACACATAAAAACCAATTATTATAGAGGTGTAGCTATTCACCATCCCTATTCTATTTTACCAACATAAAGATCATTTCTGTGATCAAGTTATTTCTCATCTGTTTTTAAACTCATCTAGTAATCATGTGAGAATTTTCTTACAAAAAAATTAATGTGGCTCAACACTTGATTTCCACGACCTTGAAAAACGTAAAAAAGTAATGCAATCACATGGTCAGGGTAATAAATAGAAGAAGGGTAAGTAGTGACACCTACAAATATTTATCACCCTAGTTATTATATTCTATTAATACATAGATTCCCTACTCCACATGATCATGTAATTCCTTTTGTTGGTTGTTTAATGAACATGGGAATCTCATAAACCTCATCACCCATTTCACTTGAGTTGAAGACTACAAAAAAAAACCACCTTGATGGATGTGTATACGAATAAAATGTAATATAAAGGATATATAATTAATACCTTATAGATCTTATTCTATTAAAAAACAAAATTTAGATATCAAACTTCTTTTTCACACTTAAACTTATAGACATATCGCTTCCAATATGCTAATCAATTGTACACAAAAGACTAAGAGCTTGTTTGGCAAACTCAATAAACTTGTTTTAGTGAGTACATTATAGGTGTGCTTGGCCATAGTTTGGCAAAGTAAAAAAAGTGTAGTAAACTAGTTCTTTTGAGTCCAATTTTGCTCAATATATAACTAGACTACAAACTAGCATAGACAACCTTGGTGCAAAAGAGAACTAGGTGAGAATGAACCAAATATGTTATAGTCTAAAAATTGACCAAACTAAGTTATAAATTAGAACTAGTTCTACAAAGTCTAATTTAGACTAACTTAGGCCAAGTGGAGTTAGTTCAAAAGTGAATTAGGTTATTTTCAAAGTTTCCAAATAGAGCCTAAGATAAAGATAAACTATCAGATAAACCTATAAAGTGTCCCCTATTTCAATAAGGCTTAAAAACTAACACCGGTAATAATAATAAAACTTAAAAACTGACATAGTAAACCAATAATGCCTATTCCCATTGTTGGATTTTAATTTGAGTGGTAAAATTAATGATTAATGATATTTGCAGCAAAAAGAAAAAAATATTGACACATTCTCTCTCCACCATCTTCTTCATCATTGTCCCCTTCCCTCTCCCACTTTCTTTCCTCTTTCCTCCTCCCCAAGATCCTCATCCTCGCCTCCTTCTCTCCCTCCTGCTCCAATCTTATGCCTCTTCTCACCTTCTCTCTCCTTTCTCATCTCACTCTCCTCCTCCTCTACCATCTTCTCTCTCTTTTCTTTCCTCAAACATTTACCAAAAGTGGAGGAGGAAGGGGAGGAGAGAAGGACGAAGGAAAGTGAAGTGGGTGAGGAGAGAGGTTGAGAAGATAGGTAATGTAAGTCGGGTGTGGGGGAGAGAGAATTGTGGTTTTTTGCAAATATTTAAATTTGAAGGGAAAATTTGTAAGTGTGGAAGATTTGAGGGGTATATATGAAAAATTCTTAATTTTTACGTTCAAATTAAAAATTTAATGATGGAAATAGGCCTTGTAATTAAGTGTGCCAATTTAGGACTTATTGTTGTCAGCGTTAGTTTTTAGGTCTTATGAGTCACTTTATAGGTTAATTGAGCTTCAATGAAGTTTGTTGGTTGAGATGAATTTCCCAAAGCCAAGTTAATTCGCTATTGTTTTACCTTGAAGATACATATGTCAATGGATTTTTGAATCCCACCATAGGTAGAAAGCTGGGTTATTTCCATTCCAGGACTAAAGTCACGAGATATTACCATAAATCCTTGACAATAGAGATTGTAGCAACCTGTGTCATAGCCATCAGCCTGTACAGATATTTAATCAATTTTTGTTAATCCCCAGCTAGTAACAAACTATAATATTTTTGAAACCAAGAAAACAAAATTTTATTTAGCTATTAAGTTCAATGTCAGACATAATTCATAGATCATACCGTCCAAAATGTAGATAGATGGGTTAAATAGTCACCATATAAACTCGGATCTACCTAGATTATTAACAAAAAAAGTAGAAAACAAATTTAGTGGAAATTCAAGTGAGTTTTATTTAAACAAACTGCGAATATTCTAATTTGAGTAAGTTAAATAATATAGTTAATTGCTTACGTGCCATCCTGCTTGTACAGCGTTTACTTCATCTAATGGTCCAGCAACACCTCCAAGAATCCATATTTGGCTTATGGTGCTTTGCTCAACTTTGATATTTGTAAAACCATAAACAATAAGTTTTGCACTTGCTCCGTAATATTCACCAATTGTAGTTTTCATAACTGCATACTATTTAACAACAAATTTATTACAAAACAAGATGAAACAACTTAGAAACAAAGATTTGTCATATTAATGCAAGTTGTGGAAAACTTCATCAATTTTTTTACGGCATGATGTTCTTAGGTAAGTAGTTTTCATCAATAGTTTTGCTTGTTCAAGTGTAGACTATTTGAATATTTTTGTTTCCCTAAGTAAAGATGTTTTGTCCAAACTAAGATTCTTAATTATCGATAGTCTCCTCATAAATAAATGTTTATTATTTCATTTAAGTTTTGTAATACTTAGACTTTTTTCTGATGCCGAAAGTATTTCCTTAAATCTCCTTTATTAAATACAGAGGCTTGATAACCATCATTATTCTTGAGGAAAAAATATAAAGATTAACATTTCACTTTAATATACATAGTGACATAAAAATAGAAAAATAACTCTATCAATAAAAATTGTGCTCCTCATTAAAATCAAGCTTCATGAAACACTATATCTGTTGACCATATTTTAAAGGTTGACAGGTACAACAAAATAATATAATAAATAAAATGAAAGTTGATATTCTAAGCTAACTTAAATCATCTTAATATCAAATTACTAAATAGAAAAGAAGACTACCTCCC